GTGTACATTCTATCATACCTACTTTTGTTGATATGTAGTTTTATTCCTTTGTAGCCAGATAAAATGCAGGATGTTACTTCAAATTTCATAAATTTGTTTATACTTGTTTTGTGTCCTAATGTTTGGCCAATTTTGGAGAAAGTTGCATAGTCTGTAGAGAAGAAAGTACATTCTTTACTGTTCAGATGAAAGGGTCTATTGCTGACTGCAGATCTATTTGATATATGATGTCATTTACTTTCAGAGTTTCTCTATCTAATTTCTGACTGGATGACCTCTGTACTGGCCAGAGTGAAGTATTGAAGTCACCACTATTGCTATGTTGGGTCATGCTGTCTGTAGCATGTTTCTCTACCAAATTGAATGTCATCTTAGATAGCCACCTCTGTATACAGTGCACATTGTGAGCAACACTGCTCTTTAAAACATCCTTGGGGTCCACTATTTGGCCAATAGACTTCATAGAACAATAATTGGATATGCAGTTCTATTTGTACCACTCATTTCTCTATTTACTTTTCATGTTCTGATCTAACTCTTTCATCCAGTTCTATTTTGAGATCACCATCAATTCCAATGCTAAAAGCAAGTACAGTTTGTATTCAGATAAAAGGAAAATTCTGAAAATCCCTTTCTCCTGTTCTTTTCAGGTTGAAATCAAAACACATTTGTATGTTAATGATGTGTCGTTTAAGTGAGGATTAAGTGTGAAGGATAGTTTTCTTTTTTCCACTACAGTAGTTGGAATATTAGATACCACAATATCTTCTATTTTAAAAGAAATCATGTAAGTCTCAGGATGATGCTTTATGAATTAAATTAAATTTAATATTAAAACGATATTATTAGGTAAAAACCTGGTAATTAGGCATTCAAACAATAAACGCTAATGGCAATCAATGGGGAGGGTGGATAGAAGAGGCAACAACAGTCAATGTACTGATGGCAAAATGCCTTTTAAGAGGGTTAGAGCAGATATGGGTCAAGGATGGAACCAAAGCATGAAAGTGAAGACAAAGGGACCTGAGCATCTACTGTGAATATACTTTCAATAAGGAAAGATGACATGCAAAAGTTTTTATTTTGAATTTCTGACACTCCCACTTATGGAATATTCCTTTACACTGTGTGGATATATGTTGTTGTGATTAGTTTAATAAAGGAGCTAACTGGCCAATAACTGGCAAAGTGAGACTGGCAAACAAAGAGAGAGACAGTGAAGAAGAAGGAAGGAGTCTTGGGGAGTCATGAGGCGATAGATAGAAAGAAAGAAAGCAAGGACTGAACTTGCAGTACTAAGAAAAGGTATGTAGCCACATGGCAGAGCATAGATAAGAAATATGGGTTATTTTTAAATTGTTAGAGTTAGCCAGTAACAAGCCTGAGTTATTGGCTGAACATTTATAATTAGTCTGTGTGATTTTTTGGGGAACTGGTTGGTGGGAAAGAAAAATCCATCTACACAAGTGTAATCTTAATTTTCAGTGATTGTTTTTGTAACTCCATGGTGACTTAAATATCAAATTTCTTGCTAAAGAATATGTAGCCTCCAATGTTTTAGTTTCATGTTCTGTGTGAGTCTTTTAGGTTGATTTAAGTAAACATGTACCTTCAGGGGAAGAAATTTAATATCCAGTTAACTTGTTTCTATCCCAATTTCATATTATGGTTTAACATACAAGTTATTTTATAATTTTCATACAACATATGTTTGTTTACATTGGAATTATTTGTGACTCTAAAATATTATATAAAATTAACCTAACAAAACCTGTTTCAAATATAGCTGATACTTTATTCTAGTTTTATTAAAACATATATCTAATGTTCTATGTATGAGGTTGTCTCACATTAAGCAAGGTGGTTATAGTATAAATCCCATTATCTCCTATGTTCCATTTACAATGAGATGTAAATGAGGGCATGCTTTTCTGAGAATTCAGAAATGAAATCATTATGGAAGAAAAAATAAGAGAGCTGGAATAATTCCAAACATCTCATGGTGATATAATCCCATACCTCTATGACTCTGCACATGGATTCATTACAAACTTTGATAGCTAAAAGCATACAACTTAAAAAAAAAACTGTATGCTAAATTCTGTATTTGATGTTAAATAAAGTTAATAAAGAATTAAATTTTGAGTCACCTAAGTGTAACATTATAGCCCATTATTACACATTTTCAATTTAGCTTCTTTCATTTGGACACTTTTAGATTTTAAGTGTGTCTACTTATATTAACCTGGGAAGTTATTACTGGAGCTAAACATGTACTGCTGATTAAATTCTAAGTGTTAAATTTGGTTACAAAACTAAATAGTAGTATGTATATTTACTACATTTTTAAGAACATGAGCAACATTCCGGTGCCAACTGACAATTATATTGTGTATGCATGCATTATATGTATATATATATGTGTGTGTGTGTGTGTGTGTGTGTGTGTGTGTGTGTACATCATACGTGTATCATAAGAAGTCATATTACTTGGATGATGAACCTACTCCTTTTTTTAGTATGCCTAGAAATTACCAAGTAGTCTTGACAGGGACTGTAAAGAAATTCTGAAAGGGAAGAAGTTGATAACACTGAATGTTAAATGAATAATGAAAGAAAATTCTCCAATAAACACCTGGCTCACACCTCAAAGAATTAGGAAAGAAGATAATAGTAAGTAGAACAGAAATAAATGAAATGGAGAATATAAAAACATAGTCAATTACCTAAGAGTTGGGATATTTACAAATTTATGCAAATTGACAGAATAGAGAAAAGATGACATTCTTAGATAATGAAATCAGAGATGAAAGAAGAAACATTATAATTGATATTACAGAAATACACAGGATTATGAGGGCACAATAGGTATCATATACCAACAAATCATCGTACAAAACAGAATTTTCTAGAAATATAAGTTTAATGAGAGTCACAAAGAGAAAAATTAAGTCACTAATTACGAAGTCACTTGACAGGGCCTGGGGAGGTGGCTCAGTGGTTAAGCACTGGTTGCTCTTTCAGAGGATCTGTATTTGGCTCCCAGCCCCCCAAGTTGACTTATAACCATCAATAACTCTAGTTCCATGAAATCCCATTCCCTCTTCAGATCTGTGGAGGCACCAGGAATATACTCGGTACACATGCATAGACCCAGGCAAAATACATATACACAATAAATAAATAAATAAATAAATAAATAAATAAATAAATAAATAGTGCTAGAGTAGTCATAGATATTGGAGGAGAACTTAGAACCACTATTTTACTAAACCATTGCAATGCCAAATAACAATCTCAACATTAGTCCTTATCTCCACAGAAAACTCTAGTCTTCACGCCTCATCAAGAAACATAGATCACCCCAGAAACCACTAGAGTTCAAGTCTAGTGGACAAAACACTCCTGAACCTAAGGCTTAGGGCAACATTTCTGAAGAAGGTGCAGAACAATTGTAAAAGCCAGAGAAACCAAGAGTTTGTTATGAGATGTGTCTCAGATATTACTGCCCAAACATGAGTCGAACAAGGACAAAGAACCACAGGCAACTGAGGGATTCTTTGAATGGGAAAATTGGTTCAGGAAAGATTACTGGTTATCCAATACCAAATGGTCAGCTCTGAAAACATATACAGAAGTAACATTATACAGACTGAGTAGGTTATATTCAAGGATATACATTTATAAACAGATATGAACACTGGTAACAATTAATGAAAACAGAAGCCATAAGTTTGAAAGAGAGCAAGAAGGGTATATGGGAGAATATGGAGGAAGGGAAGGAAAAAGGAATGATGCAATTTATTTATTATAATCTCAAAAAAAAAAAAATAAGATTCTCAACCCAAAGGAATTAAGGACTCCTTGATTTCAGTGATTATCAAACAAATATTGCATGTTAATATTACTTTGTCTCAAACTCCTCCACACAGTTGAAAATGAAGTAAGAAGCAAATTTCCAAACGCCTATTACGAAGTCACTGATAGTAACTACTGAGGACAAAGCAAAGTCATCACTTTTTAATATCTTTATAATTATGGACATAAAACGCTCTGGGTGTTAGACCTTAAATAAACCAAAAAGTTCCACCTGCCCAAGGACCAGGGATTCTGGGACTTCTAGTTTTGAAAAATAACAACAAGGTCTCATTAAATGGTGTGGTGCTTTTTGGGTTTTGTTCATGCAAGCCCTGTCATCATGTGTCTCCAGACCACTCACCTGAAAAGTCTCTAGGTAATGGCACTGATCAAATTCTGTCAGGGTTAGAATTTAATATTTTAATAAAACCTTGCTTTTAATTTGACCAAAATGGTGCTCTGGCAAATCTCAGAATTAACAAGGATTGGGAGACTCTAGCGAAACAAACCCATAGCACATTAAAAAAAAAATTCTTCCATGTGCTCACACAAAATGTATTCCAAGGATGCAAGGATGGTGCTGAATCTGAAATTCTTTGAATGCTATATAATTATAACATTAAAAATGGATGAAGAATAAAAATAATATAACCATTGAATTGTGTGCAAAAAAAAAAAAAAAAAAAAAAAGCTTTTTAGAAGCCAAAATCTTTTCATGATAAAAAAAAAAAAAAAAAACTTTCACAGTTAGAGACAAATGAAAACCATGCCAACACAATAAAACATTATATATTAAACAACAACAAACATCATATTCACTGGTGAAAAGTTCCCAAGAAATCAATTTGTATCCAGGAAAGGATTTCAAATGTAGACTGTAATTCACTTTAAATAAATGTATTTTGCTCATAAAGAAAATAGCCATAAGCTGGGTGTGATATCACACACACTTTTAATCCCAGCAATCTGGAAGCAGTACTGTGGGGTTAAGCCCAACTTGGTTCATATAACAACTTCTACTTTAGCCAGAATACCTAGTGAGAGCCTGCTTGGGGGAAAAATATCCTCATGATTTGGTTTTTAAAACGTAACTTATTTGACAATACTGATGCTACTGTGAAATGTACAAGTAGAACACATACTGGGTTTAGAAGGATTGTGAGGAAAAGTTCACCTCCTTTGATACTTTTATCCAATTCCTGGGGTCCTCCTGGATATTCCTTGTAGAAAATAGTATGTGTGAACAGCCCACAGGTCTGCCGAGGGAGGACCTGATGACAAAGAGGTGAAAGCAACACTGGTAAGATTTAGCTAAGAACTGGGACCACTCCCATAATTTCAGACAGCAAAGGGTTCCTGGTGTCCTCCTGTAGCCAGTTGTTCATGCTGGTTTAATTTCCCAAATGTCAAGCAACTGAATCAAAAACATACAATTTGTAGCTTCAAGTATGAGCCCAGTTAACTGAGTTCTATAAATCTAAACTACTGTCTGACTCAGGTTAAGGGATACAGTGTTATCTTAGGGTTCATTTCATTTAGGCAGCAAACATGGTTATGCTTCTCATCCAACTAAGCTTCCATTCTCCTTCTGATACTCAGTCTTGTAGAGTATGCAGTTCTGGGGTTCAAAGCAAACTTTTCTCACGATCACTACTTTGCTTTGTCTGCAATATAACTGACTTTAAATTTCATCTCAGTAGTAAACAGAACATTTAATGACTACTTCTGGAATATTTTTTGCGTTGAATTTGCTGTCACTCTGGATGTTCAACAGACAAAACAAATAAGCAAATTGACTCTAAAGTCCTATTTTGAATAATAAATCATTTATAGTCTAATAGAAAATACACCCAATTACACAAAAAAGCTATGATGACATTTATTCCTCATTTAATATTCATAATTAAATTAAAGGTAAATGAAAGAATGTAGTCATGGCTAAAATGATGAGTTCCTTTCATGACGTGTTGGGTGATTACACAATGAAAGAATCTCAATGCTTTCTCTGTTTTTAAATTTATTTGAATAATTCTTTTTACACTTCTGGATTTCTATAGACTTCAATTGTACTGTATCAATGATTTCAAGTAATAATCCATGTTTTTGGTTCACTAGTGCCATATCATAGTGATGAGATGATTAAAGCCCCATGATAAAATTACGGAGCTCCAATATGAGTAGCTATATATTCTTCTCTCTTGGTTTGAGATGGAGATTAGATGTAAAGATTGACAGATTAATAGATAGGTAGTTATAGTAGCAATATAAGTAATAGTGTAGGTAAGTGTAAATATTGAACAGAAAGAAGATGGTAAGCTCTTACTCTGATCTTGACAACTAATGGTGGGAACATCTTCAAAGATATCTGGAATTGGATAAAACTAGCCATTTTAGAAGCAAGGGAATGGTTTCACTTTTTCCTCCAATGAGTGATGCTAAATTTCCAGCTCAAATTCATAATGGATAAATCATTCTTAAATTTGATCATTATTGTTTAGCTAATACACAAGGAAAGGGAGTACATGCCACCCTTCCCTGCAATTTCCAGAATGAAAATAAACAGCATCCTAAAATGCTATGAATGCCTGAAAGTCAAAATACTTCAGACAGATGGATTTAGCTTTGAGACACTATTGCTGCCTTTTATCTACTGGTAGTGAAGTGATTGGAAAGGTGTTTTCTTGATCTGTAGGGTGACATCCTACCTTTAACTCATGTTAAATCAACTCAAACAAGCAGCACTAAGGAAAAAAACGTAGAGCCCCAGACCAAATTTAAATTTGAAAATATTAGTGGATAATCTACACAAAACACATTCCCATTGTTTCTAGATTGTTAAACACTCAGTAAAATCACTCTACAGCTCAAATAAGCTGATAGTCAAACAGTATGTCATTGTATGACCAGTCACCTTCATGGCATGTCGGAAACTTCTGAAAGTCATGTTAAAGTAGCTCTGTGTTATATCCTCAGAAAGAATGTTAATCTCTTCTCTTAAACATGGGGTATCATGGGTCCTCAGACCCAGACATATGTGCTCACCATGATGCTATTGTGAATGAAGCCCTTCCTGTATCTTGCAGGTTTCAGATGTGGATACTCTTCAGTGCTGGTGACCTGAATACCCCAGACCTTCTTCCAAGCTGCATACAGCTGAATATGGACCGGGTAGACCCCTGAGTGATGTGGGGCCACCGCATAGCCCAGGTTGGTCGGTATTCCATGTTCCTAAAAAAAGTCAGAGAAGAACACCATCATGGAGTGGGGGCAATTGGGTCAATTCAAAAAAATCTTTATATCTATTTAGCATATATATATTGGGGATCCCCATTAAGTAAGAGGAAATTAAATTATAGGAAGATAGAAATTTTATTCTTCCTTCAGTTCATCAGCTTCATAAAGACCTGATGCTAGTTTAACGAAAGTAGTTCATACTTTGGGCTTGCCCTATGTGCATGCAATAAAGTCTGAAATTAAATGCATTAAGTTTGAGGGAATGATAGTGTTGTGAGTGACTGTTCTCTGAGCCCAACAGTACCTGGGGCAATCAGGTGTTCCCCTTGCAAAAGATCTTCCCAGTTAGACCTGCTGATGCTCTACAACCCTGAAAAACCAGCTTGGGAAGGGCATGTGTGTCCAGTTTCTCCCCACTTCCTGTTGTAGGCCACTCTGCATTAATTGTATATGACCACCTCTTGAAGGTTTAGGCTATAATATGCAGAACAGGGAAGACTGCAGCACCATGTATGAACTATGTGGTTATAGGAAGGTTCTCACCCCTGTTGGATAAGGCTTTTCACATGATGCCTGTTGGGAAAGGAAAACCTACATTCCTGAAAGGAACCTCTCACCTGTTCTGTTAGGGAGCCTAACATACTCATTGGCTCCCAGTATTGAACTTTGGCAGATTCACACATTTGTTTGTTATTGGGACCTTGGAGACAGGGTGGACATTGCTTGTTTCTCACCTGGAAGGCAATTTTAGCTATAAATAGGAATTGAATTTTGACTTTTATCAAGCAGATGAAGCAAAATATAAAAATCTGTGACTTGAGGAATTGCCTAACTTAGAAAACATAGAAGAGGAAAATGGAAAAACACATTTTGTGTGTGTGTGTGTGTGTGTGTGTGTGTGTGTGTGTGTGTGTGTGTTTGTGTGTTTGGTATTGATACACACCAGGAATGTTAATGTTAACCATAAGGTGATGAGAGCTTTTATTTGCATTCTGTTTGTTTGTTTGTTTAGATTTAATAAGCCTTGAATCTGCTGAGTTTGGAGGGGGCTACAATGCATTATTCTTTGCTTCAAGAAACAACTAGTGGAATTCGAGATCAGAGTTACATGATAAGGAGTTATTTCTGTGTTAAATGTTAGAGGAGAATGGATAACAGACAAAGAGTATGGGAGAGTTAAAATCTAGGATAGTTTTTTGTATACAGGGGTAAATGGAAGGCAAAGATCACATTTTGCCATAAACTGTAGAAACTTAATTTATCGTAAAAGGCATACACTTTAGTATGAGGTATTTTGGTAAACAGTCAACACTAAATGACTACAGGCATAAGTTTAAAGCAAGAATATGAAAACATTCTCAGTTATTGTATTATATTTCTAGGCATGTGAAATATTCAGTTTTCTAATTTCTACCTCTTTTATAACTTTCCCTTTAAATGTATATCTGCTTCATAAAGTTTCCTTGTAGGGCTGAATCTCATCAATTGAGCTGATAAATGAGGATATATAGTCAAATATGAAAGTTGATTGAATCAATAAACTGAGCAAAAAATTGTTGACAATTGATGTTTTTATTGTCTGTTACAGCACACAGCACGGGGAAAGCATTCAGTCTTGGATGAAAAGCAAGCAGTAGGTGTTCTCATATCTTCATTGTATCACCCATATACTACACTAGTCCCAATGATGGGCACTGAATAATTTATGTCACTATCCTTTTCCCTTCATGAAATAAACCTTATTGTGTAGCCAAATTCAGTTCTTTTTCATCAAGACTGTTTTCTAACATCTATTATAATAAATGACTCTTATAGAAGTACTGAATTATGAAATCAATGCTATAAAATGAGCCATAGCCTTTTTCCTAGGTATAAGGGAAAACTGGTATCTTAGTGCTAGTAAAGAAATACATTTCTTACAAGGGCCTCTCTCCCCTCTCCCCTCTCCCGTTTCCCTTCTCTTCCCCTATCCTCCTCTCCCTCCCCTAATATTTCCATTACTGGAAATTGAATTCCATTCCTCACTAATGTTAAGTGAACAATCTGTTACTGAGCTAAAACCTGAACCTAAAGTTTGTATTTTCTGTATAGGACCAAGTTGGAAAACACTACAGATAGAATTGCCTGGGGGGCTGACCAGGAGGCTGCAGCTATGTAGCCTGGACCCACTACAGGGTCCTTTACTGAACCCTATCACTCAGCCTTAGTTCTTTTTGGTCTGATTGCTGCCTAGTAAATGATGATTCTCTAATGAAGATGAGTGATTACCCAGAAAAACAATGTGCCCAGCCCAGTCCACCATTGCATTGCCAATGAAACAGAGGTCAACTTCCTGGAGAAAGAAAACTAGGCATGAGGGTGTTAAAACTCCTCTGTTGGTGAAAACAATTGGTATGGCTCTTTTGCCTGGGAAGTACTTATGACTCACAGGAAAGAGAAACTTTTCTCCTAATGTGTTGGTTATTCTTGCAACTGTTTCATGTAAGGGATTTCCACATCTCCTATAATTTAGAAAGTGACAAAACAACAGTGTGGGAATCCTAATATTCATTAACAATACATTTGTTGGCCTTGCTCTCTACTACGGTGTGATGTTTTGTTACAAAATATGAGGCCTTAGATGTTAGATAAATGTGGTAGTGTCCATAGAAACAAAGAGATAAAAATAAAACACAAGGTCTATAAAGAGACACTGAAAATAACAAATAACTATATTCATCCTAAACAAAAAAAAAAAAAAAAAAGCATTTCACTTTTGATATAGAGTAAAAGGAACTTTTTAGAACTTTCCATGAAAAATCAGGATGGAAAAGCAATTGACTCAGTGAGTAGGGAGGAAGGGTCAGTAAAAAAGATTTTTATTATACTTATTGATTTCTGGGGGCTCAATGTAATACTATCTGTAAGGTCATCTTATTGCAGGGGCAACTATAGCTCAATCAAAATAGTAAATCACACTAGGTAATTGTGAGTTTATACTTTTCTCAATCAAAATGATAACAGAAAGTGAAAAGTCATTCCCTAGTAACTCCTTTCCTGTTATCAAGGGACTTACTGAACTAGAAAGTTTCATTCTTAACTGTCCACAGCTTCAAATCCAATTCACAGAGAGTTGGTCAAGTAAAACATAAACTAAATGTCATATTCACACAAGATCATAAAAATTACAGACTTGGGAAAGCTTTTCAATGTAAATATAGGAAACACTCAATCCATCATATAAGACAGACATAAATGATAGTTGAGGAAAGAAAATTAAAGAATGGCCTTTATTATATTAACAAGTTGGGAAGGATGAAGAAAATTTAGGATAACAGGCGACACAAAAGTGTATATGCTAATAAGCAATCGCCAGTACAGGCTTTAAAAAGTGACATCATTTCAATGGCGTTTCAGAATAATATGCCTCACAAACATTCACAGGACTTTGCCATAATCACACTTTTCAGCAAAATTCCCATTTCTTGCAGGGGTGGTGGTGAGACAATGCATAAATTACTGACATATGCAATAAGATAATTTAAAAAAACAAACAGCATATAATAAAATGCATTTAGCACCAGAGCTGACAAAGACAAATGAAATGAAGGCACTTTTAAAACAATCCCTAGTAGTCATGTAATCTTGGCAATGGATAGGGGTGCCTGTACATCTATTAGGTGTTCTTCAATTTATTCCTGTTGTGACCTTAATGATAATCCTGTTACAAGGACTGGAGAATATCCAAAAAAAAAAAAAAAAAAAAAAAAAAAAAAATGTGGAAAGTGAGGCTAAGAGAAACCATCAGGTTTTTCTTGTTAATAAATGTGAGAGCTGGGACCACACCCAAGCTCTCTACATTCAGTATATACATAGGCTTTTCCACTGTCGGCTTCTATTGTGACCAAATGGAATTGACTTAAATATATATTTTGGAAGCATAACAACTTTCCATTGTTTAGGTGTCATTGTTCTTGAAAAAGTTATATGAAGTAAAGCTCATCATTTTAAAAATCTCCTTTGCTGCTAGCACTTTTAATGCAAATGAGTTTCAGCCAATTAGGAGTGCTAAGGACAGCTTCTGAGGGTAGCAGAAGCAAAGGCTAAATTCTGGTCAAGACTTTGGTGTATGTTTGCAGGGCAACAGGAAGTTCACTGCTTGTGACTTGGCTCTAGTGGTCACTCTAGAAATAGGACTCCCTGGAGGACCAGTTCTCTAGGATTCCTTGAGTCCCTAGAAGTTCAGCTGACAATCTGTCCTCTGCCTTAATGAGGTTTTGAAAACCTTCAAGGTATTGGATAGATATGCCCTTATTAAAAATAGTGTGATGTTTTTAATTTGGAAGCTTGAATGGGAAGAGGTGGGTTTGCATTTTCTAATGCATGTAACAAGTTTAACAGAATGAGGTAAGATATCTAATGGTTTGAATTTTAGGGAAAACATGAGAAAAATGAGCACCCATACAATATCTACTCTCTATAATTTATATTTATATTTTAATAAGTAAAAATAAGGTAATTGATATTGGTAAACATCTATTTACCTACACGAGTAAACACACACACACACATGTATATTTATATATATACATGTTTTATATGTGTATAAATATGTGTGTGAGAGGAGACTTGTATATACATTATGTGCATGAATATGATGACTCGATCATACATGGGGTAACCAGCATGTAGGCTACAGTAATTAAATAGGAGACTACTGGTAATTTAAATGGAAAACACTTGAGACACATCCCAACATCAGTACTCGGAATTAAACAAACCCTTCCTTCACAGTACCAATCTGAGGCATCATTACTTCAATATAGTTTTATGTCCTGCATGAACTATTGCTAATTGTCCTTTCATTAAATCTTGTGCAGGAATGATTGCTGCTTCAGTTTTATTGAATGTAATGGTGTAAGTAGCTATTGTAAAAGCTCTCTTAGATTCTGGAAGCACAGGCTGGTGGTATGGTGAAGCTATGTGATGGAAGTAACATGATGACGGAAAATAGA